CGCATATCGCTGTCCACTCATCATCTTCTTGCTGTTCATCCTTGAATGGGTATTGCAACTTACAGTTGTCATGGCCAGAAATACAGGTCCCGCTTTGTCATTGAACAGTGGAAAGTGCTTAGAAAAGAAGTCACCAAAGTTGGGGGGTGGGGTGGAGGTGAGGGATCCTCATAATTCCTTTGAGAAATCCTTTTCTATATGCACTGTCCTACAGAGATAGCGTTCTTTCATTAGTGGCTTTGATGAATAATAGCGTTAAGAGGGGGGTTCTTTCTGAATAAAAAGAATTATTTAACATGGTAGTTCCAGGCTTCTGCCTTGATTGCTGATGGTAGTGAGGAGGCAGAGCTGCCTCACTGAGTAAAGCTGGGCCCTTGAAACTGGGTACATGCAAATAACTGCTGGGGAGAGTTCTCTTTTTCTTTGCGGTGGTTGAAAGTGTGTTATCTGCTTCAGACACAGGCAGCCTCCCAGGACAGATTAGAACAAATCAGAGCCAGTCATCATGCTTCACTGAGAAACCAGCTAAAACACAGAATTAGAGATCTGGAATGTGAATTGGGCAGGATAAAAAATACTCAACAAGACAGTATTTTTCAAAAAGGATCCACTCAGGCAGAAGTGGAAAGGTACAAAGAGCTGTATCTGGAGGAAGTAAAAATTAGAAGATGCTTAGCAAATAAACTGGAAAGGTAAGTCCATACTTTTTTGGAATGGTAATAAGATACTGCTTTTTCCTCCTAAAATCCCTCTTCTATATCTGATCAGCATTACGTATATAAAGAAAAGATGGCATATTTATGAGGAAAGTATCTTAAGATCCTTCCCCTTCATTAGAACTATCTTCATTTCTCTTTAGTATTCCAGCAGTAACACCACTGATCATGGCATTAATAGTGAATGTATTTTTTAACTTGACTGTGTTTTAACAGGTAGCCTTTTTGCCAGTCTCTAATAATCTACTTCATGTATTTTATGGCTTGAATAAGGATAGGCCCTTCAGAGAACAGAATTTGATTGTGAAGCAAAAAAAATACATCTTTTTTTGCCTTACATTTTAGCAGTGTGTCTGAGGTTTGAGCTTTCCTTGGGAAAGGGAGGGTAGGCCAGAGTTCTTAGGCAGGTGATGTGCCTTTCAGAAGAAGCTATAAGTATAAACACATGGCATTCACAGATTGCATTGAAGTCCTAATGCTGAGATGTCCTAAGTGTTGGTAAATCTTTCTGCTTCTTGCAGGTAGTGTGACGACTTAGAAATAGGTTCTCCAAAAAACCTCAGATCGAATGATGTTCTCATTTTGGATGCTCTTAATCCCTTCCGCTTTCAGAATTCAAATAATAGTCAAAGACCTGGAGGGTAACTTAGCCAAAGTGTTACTAATAAAGATAATTCTTTGTATGCTTTTGAATGTTTCAGAGCTAATGAGAGACTAGCAGAAGCCAACGCTAAGCTCCTTCAGGAGCGCCATAGAAGCAAATCTTTAATCGCAAGCAGCATTGTCAGTGGAGGTCTGGCTGCAAGTCCAGTTCTGTATTCAACTGAACTGGGACATCTTGGCAACAATTTGGCACTGAACAGAAGTCTAAGTCTTGGAGGAAGCTTCCTAAGCCCAGCCAGGAGCGCATTATCATCAAGAAGCAGGGTTGAAGCCTATGTGGCTAAGGTAAGCATTTTTAAATACTGTTCTCAACTACTGCCAGAAAGTATCCATAAGCAAGTTTATGCTTTTTTATCCTAAGTTAGAATCCATTTATAGTTCCAAACCATTTGGTCTAATATGCCAAAACAACTGCTAATCGCCAAAACAGTACACAAGTGTATGTGATAGGGGTGAAGACTTTTGGTCATCAGGGTTGTACAAATTTCCAAGAGTACTGAAAGACCAAAAAATACTGACTTCTAAATAATGGACTGTGTAACTACATTCTTTTACAAGAGAAACCGTGATAAAGAATACTGTGGCATAGGAAGTTCCTGGCTAAGCCCTTCATTAAAATTTAATGTATAGTATGTATGACCTATGTAAAACTGCTAACTTTATGATAAGTGCAAAATCCCATTAGACATCTTTGTTTGAGACACCTTTTCCTCCTTCACTGATCTTCATTCTAGCTGGAATGTTTCTTCACTGGAACTTGTTTTTAGTACATTAATACCAACAAAGGGATGCTTTGAAAATAGGATCATATGAACAGGATCACGTGACTTCTCATGTTATACTTCCACGCAGGATGTATACTATGCATAGGAGGCATTTGTTTTTGCAGTTCCTGCTGTGTGTTATTACATGAAAAGGCAAAGTTAACAACTCCTCAGGAAGTTTTCATAGCTTTCTCATTTTGCAGCAATGCTGCAACCTCTGCAATACCTCTGGTCAAAGTATGCCCTGTAATTAGCAGTCAGTGTGCTAGCACATCCCTCACAGAATGGTGAACATTGTATTATGAGATTTGGAAACCAGATGTCAATAGTTGCAAGCAGTTTCCCACGTAGCACAGGATTGAAGCATGGACAAGCTTCTCTATTCAGTCAGTGTTCTATCCCTTGCATATTCTGTTGTTGAACGAATGTGAGAACTATTCATTAACGTGTAAGTCCATCTCAGTTCAGTGGTCCCACCCACATTGGAAAGAATCCATTTAAACAATGTGTCTGCATACTGTACCTGGTTTAAAAAAACAAGCAAATGGACAGAGCAGTGTCGATGATGTGTAGCAGTGACAGTTACAGAGATGAACTTACCTGTATTGCTATGAACGTTTTTTTCAGGTCAGAGGGGTGGATATACATTACAGCAAAAACTCAGGAGGCAATTAGTACTATACCATCTGCAGGGCTGTTCTGCATGCCAGCAGTGAAAAGGATGCAAAATTCAGGGACCCACTGCAAAAGTGAAATAAGGAGAAGGACAGGACAAGGAAACAAGAGGAGTAAGGAGCAGGGAACAAGTGAGGAAAAGAAAGGACAGAGACACGGGAGCGTGCTGTTAAAAGAAGAAAAAGGCAAAGGAGGAAACCATCCCACTCCTAGGAAAAAAGCCGCCCTAGTTTAAAAGACAAGGGTTAACAGTTGTGCCTTTTTTGAAGAAGAAAAAAGAAAAAAAGACAGTGAGAGGAAACAAAGTGGGAATACTCAGTGCTTCTTAGAGCCATGTTCTTCAGGTAGTCCTTTCCACTTTAATTTTCCAGAGAAATTGGAACTCTCTGAGTGTCACAAGAGTTTTGTCAATATCAAGCTAGATACCTTTACTGGTTTACTAGCTTTCCTTAAGTATATTACAGAAATTAAATATTTTTAAAGGCTACTTCATAGCTCGTTGTTTTTATCCAGTTGCTAATATATGCAGATACATACATTATCATCATACATTATATAATACTACGTATTATACTTACATGGGCTGCTTCAGTGTTTTGCGAAAAACTGTTCCCAAATCTACTTGTGAAAACCTTTTGAGCTGATTCCAAGAAAAGTGTGCATTAGATCTCAGAATGGTGATACTGTTCTAATTCAGTGTCCCAACTTCAACAGCAACCGTAAAGTTTCTTTTCAGAGCGTATGTGTCTCACATTTTGTGATGGATTGCCATGCTGGGGAATGCTTCACTTGAGGCTTCACTTCGAAGGTTTAAAAAAGAGAACCAACAAAATACCCATCAGCTTTGAGCAGACTCTCAAAGAAGTTGAAAAATTGTGTATGACATTTCCCCGGTCTCCAATTACTGATGTCAGTGGAGTTTTCTGTTTATCAGCTTGGGGGTTTTCTCATGTACCTATATTTCTCCTTCCTAGTGCAGTTTTGTTAGTAGGACTTAGTCCCCTGAAGTACTCTCTGATGTTGCTTACAACCTGCAGAGACGTTTACTTTGTTCTCAACAGAGGAGCTAAGGATAATTGGCTCTTACTATATACAGTTTGTCTTGGGATTAGGTTTTAATTCTAACATAGTATTAAATTCTAAAGTTTTCTTCCCTGAATGAAGGTGAGTAAAACTATTGCTAAATCCTCAGAGTACTTACCCATTCCTTACCATTTCTGCCAGGTTCTCTTAAGAAAAAGCTGGAAATCTCAGCATGCCTGTTTTGTCTCAATCAAGGCAGAAGGCTGGTCTCTGGGACTCAATTACTGGTGTGAACGCATCCTCCCTGTTACTAAATCCAACTGCACATCCTTTAGTGATATTCCTTCCTGTAATCACCAGTTAGGGAACAACTGAGACTAATGGCACTGTCTTTAGCCTCAAGTCACTCAATGTTCAATGTATTCAGGAAAGTCTTAAGACCTGATTTTTCTCTTTCAGAATCCTTCAGAAAAAAGGAACAGGGTCCTCAGAGTAGTTGCTAGTGGGTATTTCACTTAGAACTGCTGGCTTAAGTTTCCTCAGCTGGGTACATTATGTCATTAACAGTGTTTGGAGCCATAGTGTATCTCTGAAGAACTGAAAGTACAGGATTCCTGACATGTGTGTCTAAAAAAGAGGATGGAATTGGAAAATAAGGCTTTAAGTCAGGAAGTAACAAAATGGAAAAACTGCATGTATCCCTTTGTATACAATAACGGGTACTGAATCTCAATCGGTTTCCAAATGTAAAATTACCAGATGCACAGTCTGTGCTGTCATTGCTGCCGTAGTACTGTGTCATTTTGTAGACAAGTTGGAGCATGAGGAAGGAGTTCAGACAACAGTTTTAGTCTATTTTGAAGTACTTTGCCAGTTGTGCTGCTTAATACTCTGCCTGTTCACCAGATTATTTAAAGATAGAAGAGTTTCTTTAAGTCTTTTCTTCATTTCATTGTTTGCTTCAATTATGCCTTGGATTTTTTTCAGTAACCTGATTCCCTTCTACAGAATTTATCTTGCCTTTAAATTCAAGCTGAGCATTGCCTTGGCTGGAGATTACAAGTGCTTCAGCTGCTAAAGCTTATCATGACAGGGATTTAAGGGGCTTAAACTGCAGTGTGCTACACTACCTTCTTTTTGTAGTCAAAGCTCTTTGTGCAGTTTTAGTGTTTCTCCAGTTGCTTCCTCAAGGTGAGAGAGGCTATTTGAAATAGAGGACATGCCATTCTTAAGAGGAGAATGTTTATGTAAATCTGGTTTGAGAAAAAGCTTTTAAATAGCTTCAGGGGCAAGGAGATGAAAATATTTCATACTGCTATTATTCAAAATGCTGGTATTAATTCTTTGTCCATGCAATTGTTGGAAAAAAACATTGGGAAATGGTGCGGATGGCAAACAAGAGGAAGAAGTGCTACTCTGGCAAGTGGACACAGTTACCTCTTTTAGACATAACTAAGACATTTGGAGTTTAAAGGCTTGATAGAGTTCACAGTTTTCCTACACCACTACTTAACATGAGAGGTGAATGTCAGTGTTTATGCATATAGCCTTACATTTTGAAGATGATCATGTTGCAACTTCAGCAAAAAATGAGCATTTTATTCTTGAAAAAAGCATAAAGAAATGTGTTCCATTACAGTATAGCCCCTTCCCCTTATCAAATATATATGCTACAGAAATTAATAACCTTGAAATGAAAGTGCAAAATTATCTTGAAAAATATAAAAAAGTTCATACCGACACTAGTAATGAACCAGTAAAATACCAATCACATGCAAAGTTCTTTGGGTTTTTTTGGTTGTTTTTATGAGAACTCCAGTAATGAGGAATATGTTACAAATACTTCAAAAATTCTGTGCATGTAATTACAAACAGTGACTGTAGCGACTAGCAGTTCATTATGTTCTAGAAGGAGGTTGGCTGAAATCTGGTTCATAGGAGAACTTGTGTTGTAAGAAGGATGTGCGTATGCATTGCCTGCCCTTTACAGGGGTACAGATATCTTTGACGGGGTCTTTTTGTCTTTTTATGATCTGGTCTACTGACTCCCAAACTGCTCATGAATTGGCATGTCACCATCCAGAACTAAATTGAATCAAGCAGATGAAACACAAATATGAGGTACTGCTAGTGGTCTGTGTACCATAATTTGGGAACTTAGTCCATAGACTAAGTCAAGGAATGTCTGCTGCAAGGAGTTTTTGCGACCGGAGTCCTGTTTTTATGTTTAACAAATGTCAAGCTTAAATCCTAACAGCAGTGCGAAAGGCTGGTGAAAATGAATGTGGGTGTCTTGACACAGAAAGTAATGGTGAAGTCTGGTAGCAGCAACCACTGTGAACTGGTGGATTTATGAAACCAGTTTTCCTACATAATATGAGAAAGGGAATGTCTGCTTTCTACTCTCTCTTAATTTCTGTTCCTTTTCTGATTTCATTTTCCATCTGCACTCTTGTATTGTAGCAGTCTTTGTGTTGTTAGCTTTTTTAACTTGCTTTATTTACATGTAGGCCATGTTCTTTTTTCTCAATGAAGACCTTTGAACTTAAGGCAGTTTATCTTTCTTCTTCAGCTCCTTAATCAAAAATCTGTTCTCTCTCTTCTCTGCAGCCAGATACCTGACAAGGTTTGTAGCCAGTATTGTTTAATGTTGGGTGGTATTTCGTATGGGAAATGTCTATTTATGCTGTTAGGTTTTGATGGAAACTTACTGATGTGTTCAGGTTTCCATAATACTGCAAATATTTTGAACTTGCTAGCTTGTCCAAGTGAAGGAATGACTGCTGCAGAGTACTTTCATGCTTTATGTATTTGTAATGTTATGGCTTCTGTGGTAGTTAACCATCTGTAAGATGGCAGTGTATGAATTTCATCTGTTATAGTGGAACTTATTTAAACTATAGGAGTAGACTGGTTTACCAGTTTTGAACTTAAAGTTCTTGGTAGTAACAGCGGTTGTGTCTGGAGTACCAGTACTGTTCTGAAATTGAGTTCCTAGACTCTGAGTATCAGCTTGTATCAGGGTCTTAGGGGATGCAACTTACTCTGTGCTCAAGCAACCCGTGTGGGTAAGTAGTAAGTCAATACCGCTTTCTGAAAAAGAATTACTGAGAAGGTGACTGCTGCAAGGGAACCCAGTATGTTACTGCCTGAAGAGATGTGCAGTGAGATGACAAGTACCTCAGCAAAGAACTTAGTGCAGAGAGATAACAATCACTGTTCTGCTTTCCAGTGCTGTGACTCTAATCTTGTAGAAGCTTGAATTCCGAATCAATGAATTCAGACTTGAATCTGAAATTGTCATCCTTACTGCTCAGGAGGTTTGGGATAGTCAGCTGTGATGCCTTTTCCAGGGGACTGGAGGGAAGGAGAACAATGGAGGCAAGTTATAGTCCTCAAGGGTATATTTTGCCTGGCTCTTCATTCCCTTTTCAGAAATCAGTGTGTTGGCTTTATTTCCACCTATTCCTCTTTCCACAGGAGAGAGATGGGAATCACAAAGATGTTAATGGAATGAATAAGAGGAAAGAAAAGATCTTTTTCTTCTCTGGATTCATCTGCACATTTCACAGGGTCCTGTGGGCCTTCTGGTCATTGTGAAGGCTCCAGAAACCAGGGAAAGTGGTTTCTTCTAACACCTCAACTATTATTGCTTTGCTTAGGATTGGTTGTGGTTTTGGGACATCTTTTGATCTAGGCATTAATTTTCCTGCTTTTTTCTGTTACCTATGTCTCACTTCATTTGTTAGGGTGTGCCTTTTATCCAGGCTTTTGCTGCTGCATATACCTGCTTGAAAACAGAGATTTGCGGATTTGAGGGATCGTTTTGCATTGTTCTTTCAGCTCCGTGCTCCCCTCTTCTAGGTGTGAAGACACAGACTATTCCAACGAAGTAGCACTGAGTGATTCTTCCCCTGGAGAAGCTGGTGAATTCGGTGGCAGCTATCCCTGTAGTCCTGGAGAAGAGGGCCTTTCCCTCCACTTTGCCCCTTTGGAGTTAACTGCCTGTTACAGCTCCTTTTGCAGAGTGCTTCCCTTACTGGGGCTTTTGCTCTCTATGGACTGTCTAGTGCATTGTACAGTGTTTCAGTTCTTCTCTTTGTTGGTATGTTGCTAGGTGAGCCTGCCCATTTCATAAAATAAATACTTATTCCCTCAGGGATTCAGTACTAAAATCAGAGTTGCAGAATGGGTGAGGATGGAAGGGGCCTCTGAAGATCATCTAGTCCAACCCCACCCCTGCTCAAAGCAGTCAGCCATAGTAGGTTGCTCAGGGTTATGTCCAGCCAGGTTTTTTTACATCTCCAAGGATGGACGCTCCACAACTTTTTCTGGGAAACTTGTTCCAGTGTTTGACCATGCTTACAATTTAAAAAAAAATAATAAAATTCCTTATATTAAAAAGAAATTTCCTCTATTTCAATTTGTGCCCATTCCTCTTGGTCTTTTACTTGGCACCACTGAGAAAGTCTGGCTCCATCTTTATTCCCCACACAGGGTATTCACAGACAGAGATAAGGTCCTCCTGAGCTTTTTCTACTCCAGTAAAGAAACACTCACAGCTTTTTCAGCCTCTTCACATAGCTCACGTGGCCCAAGCCCTTGATCATCTTCGTGGCTATCATAGGCCTGGAAGCTATGTGGTATCCGTTTTGAAAATCACTTCTGTGTGTCACAGACTTGATGGAAAAAATCTAGGAGTCACAAGTATGATCAAATGTAAATAACAGCATATAGTGCTTGGACTATGACTCTTCAAAACATCTGATTTCTTATGAAGACGTTGAAGTCAGAATCATAAGTGAGCACAACTTAACTGGTAGCAATAACTACCTTCTAAGGGAGAAAGGCATAAGTGCTCATTTCTAGTGATCCAAGCTGATCTGGGTTACGTAATAAAACGCACAGCACTTGCTGTGTAGACGCTGTAGCTGTTGCTCTTTTCTTAGGACAAAGTTTGCAAGAAAAAATTGTGTGTGTTTTTATATTTCTATATATGTGTATTATATATGGTATTTGCCATAACAAAGAAAAATCTTGGCGTGATCTGTAGGAGCTTTTTCAATTATTTTCATCTGAAGGTGGAGAAAAAAAGAATATTGGTGCATGCTTTTTTCTATACAATGGAATATGTCAATCCTGCAGCATCTGCTGTCGCACCTCTTCTCTTACGAAGTTGCAGAAGCCAGCCTCAGCTGAATTTGTCCCTATCGATGGCATTTGTGCGTATCTCAGCATTTAGCTGACATTCTGCTCATGTATTTGATGATAGACTTTAGCCATATCTTCGCTGTAATAACTCCACTGCACTTTTTTCTTGTATATCTTTTAAATGCCCATTTATCATCCAGCTGGTGAGCTACAGATTGTCTTGTGCTACAGTTAAGGTTGCTCAGCAATAAGAAAGATTCAGCCTGGCTGACCAAGAGTTTCTCTTCATTAAAAATCAAACCCGAACCCAAGATGTTTCTATGTGGGATGATATTTTTAGGTTTTATCACATGCTATACGTGGGTTTTAAGAATGTTTTAGAAGTTTAATATTGCAAAAATATAACTGTTAAAATATTAACTGTATATTTTCTATGTAATTCTAGGTACGGCAGGAACTGGATGAAAAAATCACTAAAGAACTTGAACTGGGTAATGTGTCATTATGTTAGGAGTGGTTTTAAGGAGGATGACTGTTCCTAACTATTGAATATAATGGCTTGAAAGCTGTGAAGTTCCTGTTCTAAGCACAGGTTTTCTTGTGCTAGTCTTCCAGTTTAGACTTGTGTGTGAAAACTTCCTGCTTGCCAAAATATTGTAAAAAGTGGTATGTAGCTGCCTGGAAAAAAAAAAAAAAGTGCAAAGAAAACTAACCCATTTCTGCCACACAGGTACACTTGGCTTAAGCTGAAGTTACCTTTCGCAACAGTTAATTCTCAAGCACAAACCAAACATAAAACAGGCTCTGAGATAAGATTTTTATAGACTTCAGCCATCACTTCTCCTTTCATGTATATCACTTGCATTCAGCACTAAGCCATACCATACACATTCTCTGCTATTAGTTCTTGATTTTTGCTATGTCTCTTATTCGTTGCTTGTATTTGTAGCAGAACGGTGTTAAATCCGACTGGCGGCCGGTC